ACCTATTTTGATTCATCAAACAAGCAGGTACCGGTGTGGTAGTGCGGCTCGAGGAATTGAGAATTCTGAAGAATAAAAAAAGGCAAGGCTTATAAACTCATGTTCCCTAAAATCTCTGAGAGGTGATAAATAAATGAGAAATTACATTGATAGTTTGAGAATATTCCAGTGTGTCGGGAAGTTTGACTCTCAAACAAAAACAGAGTTTATTAAATTAATAGTTTCTACGGCCTCTGACCCTTCTGAAATTCTTGTCCAGTCATTTCATCGTACCAAACATAATGTAATGTAAACGAACATATGAGATTCACCGCGTATTGAAATTACACTAAAATGTGACAATAATGATAAAATGTAGTACATGAAGAAAGCAGCATGTAATAGAGTAACTCACGGAAGTGCAACCATACAGGAGATTACAAACATTTAGGTACTCTTCACTACACTGTTGTTTTTACTTCTTTGCCTTACGTAGTACTTACGTAGTAAATAGAAAATATTGTAAATCTGTGGGAAAACTCCGCAATTTTTCCCCTGAAAAACTCGTATTGTGGAGCTCTGGAATGGAAAAAGTGGATAAATATTTTTCCCTTATGTAGTAAATTACTTCCCCTAATATTTTTGTAGGCACAATTCACGTTTCGTGGGTTCTTAATGCCGAACTAGTGGGGCTTCAACAGCACATATGAGCACTATATTGCTCGCAAAATTACACAAAAAGTTCTTATATTTTTTAAAAATTGAACAAGATCTTATTTCAAGATCTGTCTTTAAAGAACAGATTTCAATAAGGTAAAAAAGTTTCTTGAATATTATAGTTGTAGGAACACCCATCCCCAAAAAATTACACTTTTGCGATTTTCGAAAAATCAGGGATTTCAACGAACATAACGTGTCTTAGCGTCTTCAACACCGAGGACCACCGTCACCAACTTCCGAGGACAAAGTTTAATAAAAAAATGTGAAGCTATTTTTGAGAAAATGTTGAGACTTCTTGTAAAGTACCCTCAGAAATCAAAATATCCGTTTGAAACTCCCAAAGTCTCGAGTTCGTTCAGATCGATCGGGGAATAAAAATTTTGGAGAAAATGGTCTGAACACTTAAGGTGCTTGCGTTGACCACAGTCAGACTGACGTTTTGCTCTCAATTAATTTTTCGATGTCAAGGACGTACAAAATGTGGATTCTGGCTACACCACATGTTAGAGGGCGTGATTTTTCTATATATAGGAACAGAATTTATTCATTATTTTGTTACCAGGTACTAATTTAAGATTTTTTCTGTCAAAAATGCACCGTTTTTTGGCGCACGATATCAATCCTTTCTCTTCGTACAATCGTAAGGGCGAGAATATAAAAATAGGGCAGGTCTAATTTTCATTGAACTCTCTGAATTTCGAACATTGCGTGATAGAAATAATAATAGAGATCACTGGTTTTTAAGCGTCACTAAATGTAATAGTGACTACGTGATATATTGGTAAAGCGCATGGCGAGTTTACTTCATGGCCTGAGTTAGTCTCGAAGCGGGGAAAAAATTGTGTATGTCAAAAACCCTTTTGCGAGTTCATTTAGTAGTACAATATTTCGGAGCCATTCCGGGGCCGAGTTTCCCGCATTATTACATTTGCTTCTCTCTACTGCGTAAGCAGTATGCGAGAAAGTGATACTGGCTAATTTTGGCCCGTACATTTCAATTAAATTTTTCAGAGCCTTCTCTTCTTATCTTTCCTCAACGACTTCGATTTTGGCCTGCATGTTTAATGTTGTTCTCAGAGTCTACTACCAATTGCGTTATCTTTCCTCCTCGTTATGTAGTCAACTCGGTGTTCGCGTACGTTTTAGATGAATGAATTTCCCCGCGTCTACTTTCTAGTGCTGTATCTTTCCTATGTATAACCGAGCAGAAATACCGCACGACGTAATCAACAATACCCGGGATTCCCTGCCGGCGAGTATCTTCGCCTCGGAGTGTCCCTTGCCGGATTGCACTAGCTTCCCCCCGGCGATGGAAGAAGGGGAGCGCCAAGCAAAGTCTTATCTGCTCTGGCGCCAATTCAATGCGGGATCTCGGATAATAATCTAAACATCGCTCGGCCTTGAGCATTATATATTATCACAATAGATATACGCTGATAATTCAGTGGTAAGGAAGCACTAGATGAAACAAATCTTACGCTTATATGCTCACTGACAATTCGCTGAGCAAATCTGCTTTAGTCATTTCTTTGAACAGTCGAACAATTGTTTATAATGCTGATTTGCTATGGGGTCGTAACGCAGGTAACTATTGCGAAATAAAAAACGTATTCCCACGCAATTGTTAAACCTATGATTGTGACAGTGGTAGAACATTAATTATTCTGTAATTTATTATTATTATTATTATTATTATTATTATTATTATTATTATTATTATTATTATTATTATTACATTTATGAAATTTTCCATTCAAGAATGAGATTCACGCTCAATCTCAGATACGGCTTGCGTTCATGAATTGTCCTGGTATCGGGAAACTTCGCGAAATTACGCGACTTCCAGAAAATGCTAATGGCACTTCACACGCACGATACGTTATCTCTCCATAGAGTAATCAGTGGTAGACTGAGATCACTACTGTCTCTCACTGCGGTGGGTGCGGTGGGCTTTCCCGGCACGTGGTCTCGTATGCATTGAAGCCACTAGCCCTAGAACGGAGCTCAGAACACGGAACTGCGAGAAAGACGCCAACAGTTGTGGCTCATAGCTTTATATTTCTGGACATTCCAAATAATTTTCGCGTTACTACTTCGAAACAATGATTCGTGGTTATTTTACCATGCACATTGAAATAATCGACTTTTAATGTTTATACTTTCGTAATAGTGATCATTTTGAAGTAGGACATTAATATGTTAAAATTTCAAAGCTTTCGCATTTTTTTTTGAACAAGACCTATAAAAATTAAAAATGAAGTCAGCATTTTTTCACGTCAACAAGGTTTTTGGATTAATTCTTAAATATGTATTTTTAAAAACACGATACATTAGAAAGCTTCGCATAGTATAGCATACTAGCAAAACGTTAAGAGGCATTTACATGACCAGTAGCGTGTGAAATGCAAATATCCATAATGTTACATCCCCTTGATTCTCATTTGTTCCACTAGAGCTGTCCACCAATCACTAATTTGTATATCTATCTATATTACTAAATCCAATACGCACAGAAAATGAGAGAAAACTATGTACCTCCGGTGATGTGAGAAGTGTCTCTGGTTTTATTAGACATCCAGGAAGGGAAATAATTAAAAAAAAAGTATAGTACATGCCCAACGCGTGCAGAAGTTAAATGAAAATGACGGACTCGTTTCTATTTAACTGGAAACAAAGAAAAGGCAGAATGAAAAATGGCGAACGGGTTTCATTAGTAGAAAACTCTGCGACAAAAAGCAAGTGAAAACTATCTACAAAATAACGATTCAATGAAATACGAATTTAAGCACATTTTTGAAATCGTATTTTTAAACCCTTTCTAATGAGCCAAAATTTAGCATAAGGTTTCATTAAAAAAAGTTTTACAATGTATCTTTTTGATACAAAAATAGGACATTGCACCGGGGCGATAGATAGCCCCGGTCTATGCCTTCGATTATGCTAATGGCGTCATCTTATCTTCTATGGTTCAGGAGATAAAAGGTGTGCTTTAACGTCTTACTGTGCATAATTATCTACATGTATAACTATTATTATTATTATTATTATTATTATTATTATAAGTACAAAAGAATCACTGAAGACTGTAACAAGTACAAAATTTAAACAACAGTAATTTGCACGATGAATTAATAATTGGATAATAATTGTAATAATAATAATAATAATAATAATAATAATAATAATAATAATAATAATAATAATAATAATAATAATAATAATTCACAATCACAAGGAAGTCTGTCCAATCCTCAAAGAAATGTTTGCACAAAATTATGAAGTTTTTCTTTAAACCATCAATATAATCAGTGAGGAGGAACCCAGTCACTAATTTTTTTTTAGCATACATGCCAACCCGGACCACGCGTTAATCCTGCTTCAGCACGTGAATAATACTAATAAACTAATTAAATTCTAATATTCTACGATTTATAATATTGCAGTTACAGCGAGATGCAGCAACTTATGTGATTTGAAAAGGTAATACGTATTATATACAAGAAAATTGCAAATTTGACCGTAGAATTATTATGTAGGCCTACTATAACATATGCTTCTTTTATTTTTTATTTATTTCTAATTCTAATGAACTTCTCATTCATTTTTCACTTCAGTAATTAATATAATATTCTGTATTCACAGGAGTTAAAGCTTTTATTTTCACTCGTGTCATGTTTTTACAAAAACTTTCTCAAAAATGTTAATAACCTGATGGTATTTTTCGCTGCCGTATTAGAACACGGTTGCGCGTGGCTTGCTTCGGAACTGGGCTCTGAAGATGAATACAAAAGATGTTTCTCACCTGTATTTTAACTCCTATGACTTTATGGGTAAAATATTGTGAACATAAACATCTTTAAATAGGACTTTTATTTCATTTTGGCCAGATTTTCTAGGTCGAGAATCCCTGTGCTCGCACAATGTTGCCTTCTCAAAATTCCGAGCACTTCTGAACTACTACTCTTTCATGCATTACATACATTTCATGCTACACATGCCGGGAGACCAGTAGAGAGCTCTGAGCGGTTGGGGCGGTGCCCTGCTGGTAAGATACCTGGTTGGGGAAACCCCCCCAAACCGTCGAGTAGAGAAGTGATTTGACAGCCTTCAGGCGGGACTCGATTGTCCAATCAAGATGACCTATTTTTTTTAAATTGAACCTTCTGATTGGATAACCGTTTACCAGCTGATCAAAAATCAATTCATCCTCGGTTTTGATTGGAGAATACACACAGTACCCAAAGTCGATGGTGCTGCCATCTCTGTCCGTCTAAGTCACATATTCTTGGACATCTCTATTCTTTGATGGAGAGTGCTGTTTCGGAAACGACTGATCACCGCTCATAGCGCGCTTGGTGGCAAAACTATTAACTTGATTGTGGAACGTATATGGAAAGAACGTCTGTATACAGCTCCAGCACATGCTATTGGTTCGCTTTGGAAAATAAAGCATGCTGGGAATTTTTATGACGTCAGGTTCAGGTTAACTTCGTTATTTTTCCATCGTTTATCAGAAAATTTCAATGTGGTAGTGAAATTAACAGTTTTTTTTGAAGTTTATGGATGAGGCACATTGTGACGGTTACTTCTGAAAATGACTTTTCAAATTACAAATTTACAAGACGCTATTTGACTCATGCCCAGGCTAACCAACAAGTGGGACTGATTGTGTAGTGTTTGGTAAAAACAAGTTGATTTCAGGTGTTCGTTCGAACAGAAGATTTTGATATTGCACGAAGTCAGAACAAATGTAATTAAATTTCGATGTTCTAGATTAACGCCTTGGTTTCGGAAAGTAAATCTGTTGTCGGAAATAGGTGCATTTTTTGTCTGTACACAAGACCTTGAAAGAGACTGTGTTGTGGGAAGGTGGACTTTAAAAATATCAACTCTTTTGTGCTTGAGGTACGTTGACAGTTCTCGTGTTTAGCTATTGATGTTTCTGTCAATTTTTTGGATGCAGTCAAATCCTGTACAATGGTGAAATGTGAAGTGAAAGTTGTTTTGTACTGTGTTGCCATTACATACCTCTCTCCTGCCATGAGAATAAACATGTAGGTTTGTAGTTGTTGATTATGGTATCGAACATAATAGTAGATATTCAAAGCTGATGTAATGTTGTCATTGCCAAATTAAAGTTAAAACGTGAAATTAGAGACATATGAAATTTGAAGTGCCACCCGAAGATGTCATAAGAGCTGTGTGAGAAACTTCTGAAATTTTGAACGGTGGCATACTCTGTCATTATGATAGTAATATCAAGCAATGAATAATGTTAAAGAGTTTTTTATTTGATACATTTCTTGTTTACATAGATGGTACGGGTAGAATTGAATGAAATATGGACCTCGAGGCAGCAGTTCAGCAGACTACATCATCACTCCATATGAGTGATGTCAGTGAGTACATTCCTATTTTCATTTTTCTGATGTGCTAATGATAGTGTCATAAGAAGTGCTGGAAGAGTAATTCATGTTTTTAAAGTCATCAGATAAGTTTTTCTCCAGCAGTCAATCTGTACTGCAGTTATAATTCTTAAAACATTTGATGTATGTTAATATAGAGCTGAACGGTCTGTACTGAAAAGGGAAATCAAGATGTGCAAGTACATATTGTGCAGTTTCATTGTAGTTTTCAAATCAGTTAGATTTTTATACAATATACATATAGGGCTGTGCACTATAATGATTTTTTCTTCAGAAAACTGCTCTTTTAGAAATAGCGAACTAGTGGATGTCCAAAGAATTGTTCAGTTGACAAATCCTTCAATTTCAAAATGTGTAAATTAAAGTTAGAGTGAAATTGCATGTACACTTTATTTAGGGGGGGAAATTTTATGGTAATAATTGATAGTGTGTGTAAGTACTCAAATTAAAATTAATGTTTCCGTAATTGTGTCAGGTTGCCATGAATTTCTCAGTGCTATACACATATGGAAGCATCTAGCTAAGCTCTGTTAACGTAATTTGCTGATGATGAAATGCTGTTCATCTCTTTTCTTAATTCCTTCTACGTTTTTATTAGTATTGTTTTTGTTTTTGAACCAAACTTGCATGGAATTTTTTATTTGGTTTGCTTGTAGTTGAGGTTTTGCAGAAAACTGAACCTGATTTTGGGCAACATCCAGATACAGAAATGTTCAACACATCATCATCATCAATGAGTAATAAAAGCCAAGCGAAAGTTCAGATTATTGAGCAGCCTGCCTCCAAGGCCTTAAGATTTCGTTATGAATGTGAAGGGAGGTCAGCAGGTTCTATTCCTGGAGCTAATAGTACTCCAGAGAACAAAACTTTTCCAACCATTCAGGTGGGTAATATATTTGATATTCCTACTATTAATACCTGTCTTTTATATCAGTGATTCATGTCTGTGATTCATATCGATGATGATAAAATTGTCTTAGTTTGTAACTGTCAGAAAATGAATGTGAAGAACGTTTATTTATCATTCATACTAATTAGTTTTTGTTTCAAGATTTCTACTAAATAGCTCTTTTAGTACCTGAAATCTTATTTTGAATACTACAATATCTGGAAATTGCTTATCCAAAATTATTGAAGTATTCTTCAGATGCTTAAACTGTGTTTTTATTTTGCTTTTGCAAAATTGTGCTGTTATATAGTTCAGTGTTAATAGGTACAATATTGAGAAGTGAAAGTTACAATGATAAATTTATGAATTACAGTTCATTACCCAAGTTAACAGAGCAGTGGTTGTTGCGATTCTTCAACAATTGGATGGGCTATTGAAGCTGTATTTTTTTTTTGTGATAATGTCTTATGACGTTGTGTATGTATTCAAATTTCTGAATATTGACCATGAATCTGTGTGAGATTTGTTTGCATGTACATTGTAGTGATATCAATTGGAGTGCACAAAATTGTGAATTTCATCCCTTAGTTTTAACCTTTTAATTGTGAGCCACTGTACTGTGTGGAACTAACTGTGAAGTTATGCTTGAATAATAATGAACTATATTTGACATCGTGATGACATGCGTTTTATGAAAAGGTAACTTCATTGTAATTTTGTGGTGAAAACACTTACAAATACTTTGCATTCTGTGGTATATTGTAAGTTCTTCGATGAAGATGCTTGTTTGATAGTCCATTTTTGTAGTGCCTCATGTCTATGTTTACACTTTTTATTGCAATGATTCTCTGGTAATGTTCCTCACATTCAGTTGTAATGTATCATTGAAACTTTTTAAAATAGGAATTTTGAAGTATTTTAGATTGGGGAAAATTTCTGGAGGTGTAACTCATATGTGAAAGGCTCTTTAAAGCTGATAAATAGTTGCAACTTGCTTTGAGTGCAGAAATTCACTTTTTTATTTGAATGTGTCCAACATGTAAAGAATTTTAACTATGTAATGTTGGAAACTTACCTAGTTAAATGCTTTGTAATAATTGCATTTTTTATGTTACTTCAATAAATTAACTTCTCATTTGTGAAAAAGTTCTTCAGTAAGCCGAGCTGATGTAAATCTGAAATTCAAATCTAAGACTTTTGTTGTATTAGTACCTAAAAAGACAAATGTATTAATTTTTTTAGAGTTTTATTAGAAACAGCATTTGTGATCTTTACATGCAGTTGCATTTCCATGTAATATAGGAAGATTTTGTAAGTGAAACACATTCATCATAAATATCATTTACTATTTTTCTATTTTATGCTTTTTCTGTAGGTGGTTGGTTATCAGGGTCGTGCTGTTGTTGTAGTCTCATGCGTCACAAAAGATGCTCCGTATCGACCCCACCCTCACAATCTGGTGGGGAAGGAAGGGTGCAAGAAAGGTGTGTGCACAGTGGAAATCTCTGGAGAAGCCATGACCGCTACCTTCTCCAATTTGGGGATACAGTGTGTAAAAAAAAAAGATATAGATGAAGCTTTACGAATTCGTGAAGGAATTCGTGTTGACCCTTTTCATAGTATGTTGTAATCTTCCTATAATATTATCATTATTATTACTACTACTACTACTACTATTACATCTATTTTTGTACCTTTTCATTATGTGAGATATTAACAAAAGTCAAAGAAATAAATGGAATTTAATTCTGTTTCAGCTGGTTTTGCACACCGATCACAGCCTACCAGTATAGATTTAAATGCAGTGCGATTATGTTTCCAAGTCTTTTTAGAAGGATCAGAGAAAGGAAAATTTACACATGGTTTACCACCTGTTGTCTCTGACCCAATTTATGATAAAAGTGAGTGAACTTCTCATTGATATATTAATTATTTGTGTATCCTGGTTTAAGTTGTAATGTACCATATACATTTTTGACAATGTGGTAATTCCCATTGTATTACAGTATCTTCTGAAGTTTTGAACTTTCTTTTCCTAATGGTTGTTGTTGTTTTTTTGTTTTTTCGTCATACTGCTATTAACGTGTAATCTTTATGCAAATATTGAAATAAGTTTCATGGAATATCTTCAAGCAATTCTATGCATTTCCAGCAATAAAATTTGGCCAAAATCTTACTAAGGGATAATTAATTTGAGACCCTAAGTAGGTTGTGCCTTGAGGGAGGAGAATTAGATATAGGGTCTGTAAATGTGATTTCAAAAATCTTTGTTCAGATTTTGACAGAAATGTGCTTTTTGGGGTCTCTCAGATACCAAAATAATATTGGTTTCTTCCAAATGGTAGCACCTAATTCTTGGATAGTATTTTCCCCATAAAAAGGGATATTCCCGGATTGCTCAGGCTGATCTTGAGACTCTGTTCATTTGAAATGTCTTTTAATTTTGGCGATATTTTACTTGCAAGCCACAGGACATTTTCAACATTTGTTTCAAAAGCCGTCCTAGTATTTTTTTCAAATTTTTTGCTCAGGTAGAGCTAAGTGTATTTAAAAAAATCTCTTCAAAAATAAACTTTAAATGATTTAATGCGCAATTTAAAAAAAATTCAAAAGTTTTCAAATCGTAAACATTTTCCAAAACTCTGTAAAAAAGAAAAAAATCTGTTTCTCAAAAATGGCTCCCAGTTTTTTCTGTGATTTTTCCTTCCCCCCCCCCCCCTTGAATAGTGTAGAATTCACTTAATAGTATGATTTAGATAGCGTTTGCATTAAAACATCTGAAAATAAAAATTTAAAGTGATGATGTTTTTTAATTCATTCATTTTTTTCTTTGAAGCCTGTCCTACACCATATTTTTCAATATTACATCTTTAATTCATTTCATATAGAGATTTTTGGAATAGGTGTTTGTTTTCACGTAATTTTCAGTCAAAAAGTGACAGATTTTTTACAAATTTTTAGTTTTAGTGTTTAAGATTAAAAACGGGTCTTCATTTTTGCTGTAACATACAGTTTCAGAACATAACTCTGAAATCTATGGTGTAAGTGCCATTTTCATAGAAACTATTGAATTTTTTTAGTAGTAGTGCTACTACAGCACATACTTTTTCTTATTTATAATGGTTACACAATATTATTATATTGCAACTTCTGTGTTAGTAAAACTCCAGCCACCACTAGAAAAATTCCTAACCAAATGAAGAGAGATGTTTGATAAAATATGAATGTCATTAATCTTTTGAAATTACAAAAGTTTAATTGAAAATTGTTTTGATATTGAATTCAGTGTTTTATTTGCTCCATTTTTCCAAACAGTTGAAAGGGAGACACAAAACAACAGTTAAACGAAGTGCCTCATATGACAAACCTAGCTGCCAACTTGGATGTTAATATCAGTGTCCGGATATCTCCATTTATTAAGATAACCTGATTTTGTAATGATGAAATACCTCAGAATTACACAAAAATCTATAAATGTTTTGAAAAAATGTACATGAAATGTTTAAAAATTTAATATTGAGCAATCGATTAAGAAAAATCGTATTTCTTTTTTAATCAATGAATGTGTAAAATATCTTTTAAGAAAATTAAACTTTTTAAATTCTAGAGGTTTTAATGAAAGTGGGACATATGTTATATTGTTAAGGGAACTTAACTTTCTTTAAATGTGTTATGAGAATAAAGCTCAGTACACTGATTTTAATGACAAAAGGCCATTGGCATTTAAACTTCTTAATTAAAAAAATAAATTACAATGCATGTTTTTTTTAACCACTCATTGAGATTTGAACCTAGGTTCTTTGGTTGAGCGCACTATTCACATTACCTCTACTCAAGCTGCCTCATAGCTAAACTCAACCATCCCAATACTTCAAAAACAAAGATGAATATTTGAATTAGCAACTAAAAAAATAAAGATTTTCATTGATATTATTTAATGAAATTTAAAGAACAAATGTCATTAAAAAAATATCTATCATCAATATTGTAGCTATAGGAAAATTTCAAATATTGTAAACTTTTGCGATTTTCAAAAATTTATCATGTTTAATGAAAATGGGTCCTATTACATTTTCTTAAGTGCACTTCACTCTAGAAGCTGGAGAGGATTTTTGGAAAATTGTACAGGAACTTTCATAATTTCCCTTGAAGAAAAAATTTCATTAAGGGAAAAATCACTGACTTATGTATTGTAGTTGTAGGATGACGATGAAAACATTTTGAACATCTGCAGTTTTTGAAAATTTTGAGAGTTCAACAAAATGTAGCCAGCACCATTTCTTTAGTGTTCTTCACTCTGTCTATGAATGAAATAATTGTTAATCCAAAATCATCAAGTAATTTTTGAGAAAATTTTGAAAATATTAAGGCTTCATGTAAGTACGTCCAAAAATCAAAATATCTTTCAAATTTCAAATATCTTTCCAATTTTTCGGGTCCTTAAGTTCAGCCTGATCAATAGGGGAATTTTAATTTTGGGAAAATTTTTGAACTGATTAGGTGCTAGTGTTGACCTTGGAGAGGCAGATTTTGACATAAACCAATTTTTGCTATAGTTTAAATCAATCTAAAAGATAACCAAATCCTTTGCAACATTTAATATTGAAGTATGTTTTTGTGAAAATTAAAGTACCTAAAACAAGTGAAGTGTTTACATTTATGAAATAAACCTGCAAATTAAAACAAGTCCACAAATTAAAAATCTCTTTATTAAAAATAAAAATTATAATATTTCAGTATGTAATCCATGTTTTCTTACTTGAAATTGTTGGAATTGAGAATGCATGCTCTAACATGCAGCCATTTGTGGTGTGTGATTCAAAAATATGAATTTTTATGGGACTCTTTTGATGGAATAGGAGATGGAACATAACTATTTATCTTTTTAATTTAGCACTCTATATTGAAATAATTTATAACAAAATAATGATTTCGTAATAAGTATTCAGTGGTGAAGAAATAGTATTTAGCTGTCGCCAACCTCCAAATTTTTATTGAAAATATAGCCTTTAAGAAAGTTCAAAATCCACCAGGGATTTGAAATTGACTACTTTAGGTCAATGGCGCAGTAGAAGGTCAATGTTGCCACTTAAGCGCCACACTGGTGCAGTAGAAGAGGTTAGACATAATAGTGAATTGATGCTCTCTGATAAACCCTCTACCCATTCAATAATTCCAGTATCAATTTTCTCATCAGGTGATATGATAACTGTTGACTAGTTTTCTTGGGCCATCGTAGATTTACATGAGCCCACCTAACATTAAATTAGATGCATTTCAAAACTTTATTGGCGTGGCTTATGATTATCACTATCACCCCCTCCCTCCCCGCCGCCCCAAATTATAATGCCTTTTTTATTGTAAAGAAAAGTATATTGACAAACTTTATCAGATATTTAAGATACGATTGTATGTAGTGAAACTTACTTTTACAATGCTAATATTCTTGTTTTAATGTTTTGCAGAGGCAATGTGTGATTTAGTTATTTGCAAACTAAGTGATTGCAGCGCAACTGTTGGAGGTGGTCGTGAAATCATACTCCTATGTGAAAAAGTAGCCAAAGGTGAGTAAAACTGAAGAAACACATTAACAACCATAAGAATACTTTCTGATTTGATTTGTTAGAGAAATCAAGCATTTATTTATATTAAATATTGTTAATATCCTTATGATAGATATTATTTATAGATTTATCATAATTGCCATTTTATTTTATGCTGACCTAGGAAGGGCATAAATGTCTTTTGTGGTGGTAAGTTCTACATTCCTTGTTCTAACTTAGGTTGTTCTTATTAAACATTGTTACAGGAATAAATCTATGTTACTTTTTTGTAATGTTTCAGAGGATATTCAGGTCCGTTTCTTTACCGAGGAAGATGGTCGTATCACTTGGGAAGGTTTGGGTGACTTTACACCTGCTAGTGTACATAAACAGGTTGCAATTTCATTCAGAACGCCTCGATATCGTGTTTTGAATGTAGATAGACCAGTTCAGGCTTTTATACAGTTGCGACGACCATCTGATGGAGCAACTTCAGAAGCCTTACCATTTACATTTACACCTTCCGATCCAGGTATTAGTTCGAAATTTCTTTGGTTTGTTTTCTTGATCTTCTGAACATAACAATTGTGAACTTTGTAACAAAATTATAATGTGCAATTGCTCTTTGACCAAGTTCATTTCTTGAAGCATTTGCAAATTATTATTCTAGAACTGAGACGCAAGATACCAAAATCACTTTCGGTGCCAACATGTGCTGCAGAGAGCAGTCAGCCCCCTAGTAAGTAAAATGTTAATAAATTTTATCCTTTATACTGTGTTTTGTTTATTACTGTTGTTACTCTTCTTTTGCAGTTCGGCGTTTACCATATCCAGATGCTCCTCATCCTCCTGCATTGTTGCCTGTGAAAACGGAACATGTTGGAGGTATGAATTTATTTGAAATTGAGCAGCCTTTCACATTTCATTTATTCTGCTGTCTGCTTCAGCATTCTCATCTGTGTCAGAAACTTTTTACGATATAAACCAAGTTTAACACTGATCTGCACTGTTTATTATTTAATTGTATGATACAAAGTAGACTCAATGATATGAAAACTCAAAGGTTTATCAATGATCTCCCTATAGTCTTAAAATACAGTCTTTTTGCTGATTAAGCTAAGCTAGCGTGCTGATTACTAGTTGTCAAATATTATTGCGTTCTTTACAACATATCATTGCACCATGACAAGTGCTATACAATTAGCTCCTCCAGAAAGTGGGACACTGTCAGTTTTCTATATAGACTCAATGGGGAGATATTGACGGCAGTTGGCAACATCAGAGACCTTGGAGTTATCTTTGACAGTCAATTCAATTTCAGCAACCCCATGAATAGTATAGTTAACAAAGCTCTGTAATCCCTGGGTTTAGTCTTGCGAAACTCATCACAATTTCAAACCCTCTACACGACCAAACTTCGCTTTAACTCCCTGGTTAGGCCCATTCTCCAGAATGCCCGTCTGATTTGGTCACTTCACTGGGAAGGCGGTAAAACATCTTGAGAAGTTCCACAAGTTGTTGCACAACTTAGCATTTCCTGATGCGTGCCCTATCCCGCGGTTTTGTCACAACTACGCTAATTACTACTCCTTGTATAATATTCCTCATCTTTGGGATAGAAGAACAATCTGTGGTCTTGTCTTTCTATTTCAAATTTTGTCGGCTGAAATTAATTGTAACGATTTTCTCCCCGATACAGAATTTTGGGTCCATGTGTATTGACATGCAATTCCTTATTACTTCCTGTCAAAGCTGTGAAAACTATCAAATGAATGATACCTTCTATTGTATTCACTTAACTGTTTACAAGTATTGTAAATTAATTAATTTTTTAACATTACTTACTCGAGCAATGTATTTACTATTAGAGCGAATATTGTACTACGAGAATTGCTCTATGAAACCAACTCAACAATGGCGGTTTTGATATTTGCTATTCATATGCAATTTTTCGAATATTAGCTTGAATATGTGTAGCTCATCGTTGCACATTTTAGAGCAAATTAATGTCCTTTGTATAGTAGGGATTCCATAAGGTGGTGCCAAATTCAATGTTAGGAAGAATGCAAGTTTTCTTTATCATTCTAAAAGCTTTGTGAATCATGAAGATTACCTTATTAACTTTCTTTACAATATAAGATACAGTAGATAACCTCTTTTACACTATTCAAGGGAAAATGGTGAATTCGCAGGAAAGTGTAATTGGAGGGAATATCTTTTGGCAATGTAATAAAATACTGCAAATTTACAATCCACTTTCATTTTTAGTATTAACAATCAGTATTCTATGTACTCATATTTCCGTTGTAAAATACAAGATTTATGTATTTTAAAAAACATCTAATATTGATGACTGTTTTGCTTTCACCGATTTGCTATCATCTGGTGAGTTCTTTCAAATTTTCAAATTCATATGCATTATCAATTTAAGTTGCTATCTTCCTGCAGATGTATATTTTCTATTGTGTTCATTGCATAAACTACTTTTACACTTGGAAGCACACTAGCATCATCATCATCAAAATCACTATTGCTTCTTCACTGTCATTTTCTCCTTGAACTGAATTGATCATGCTTTCTACAGACACTGCAGTCACAACTTCCTCATCAAATTGGAAGTCACTAACTGTAATACATTTCATTTTCTCCCATGTAGAAATAAGATCAGTCTACTTCTTCTTCTTCTTCTTCTTCTTCTTCTTCTTCTTCTTCTCCGTATTTTTCTTCTCCATCCTCTTCTTCTCCGTCTTCTTCTTCCTCCTCTTCTTCTCCGTCTTCTTCTTCTTCCTCCTCTGCTTCTTCTTCCTCTTCTTCTTCTTCCTCCTCTGCTTCTTCTTCCTCTTCTTCTCTGGCAACTTCTTCTCCTTCCTCTCCACCTTCTTCTTCTTCTTCTTCTTTTTCCTCTGTGTTCTTCTTCTCCTTCCTCTCCGTCTTCTTCTTCTCCTTCCTCTGTTGTCTTCTTCTTCTCCTTCCTCTCCATCGTCTTCTTCTTCTCCTTCCTCTCCGTCGTCTTCTCCTTCTTCTTCTCCTTCTTCTCCTCCTTCTTCTCCTCCTTCTTCTCCTTCTTCTTCTTCTCCTCCTTCTTCTTCTCCTTCCTCTTCTTCTCCTTCCTCTTCTTCTCCTTCCTCTTCTTCTCCTTCCTCTTCTTCTCCTTCCTCTTCTCCATCTTCCTCTTCTTTTTCTCCTTCCTCTTCTTCTCCGTCTTCTCTTTCTTCTTCTACTTCTTGTTGATGATGATGATGTTAATGTTGATGTTATTATTCTAATTCTTCTACTTATTCTTATTCTACTTATTCTTCTTCTTCGCTGACTTTTTCCTCGTGTTTTTGAAAAAAGCCAGCTTTTCTAAAGCTGTTGTAGATAAGTGGATTGATATAAATCTTTCCATGCCAATGCAATAATGCAGTGGATTAAGGATAGATATTTTAAGTATTATATTCTTCCCTGACTCCATCAAACCTAATCTCTGCACATTTTTTCTGTAGTAGGTCTTGAAAATCTGGAATAATCCTAAATCTATTGAATGTAGCTTGCTTGTGCAGTTTGCCGGCAAACATTCAATTCTAGCATTTCTCATGTTCGTTTATTTTTTAAGGATGATTAAGATGAGCAGAGTACTGATCAACGAATAAAATATTTCTTCTGTTTTGTAGTTACATCTTTGCATCAAGAGCATACATTTGCCTCTCAAAAAGGTTGGAAGACACCCAAGCTTTTTTATTCTTCTTGCATTTCATGGGCAATGTTTTCACGTTCTTGAAGCATCAAGGTTTCGTGGCCATTGCTTTTCCAAACAGTCGGCATTCGCTCCCAACATTACTGCATGCTTAGGTTTACGGTTTTTGAGTCCATGACAATTCTCACCTTTAAAAGTGAAAGTTTTCTTCGTCAGAAAAAAAATTGACCCCTTCCATCTTTGGGTGAATACTCCTTCATGCTGTCTTGTTAGTTCCCCTTTTGCCATTCCTGAACACTTTTTTTGGCATGGTATTTCGTTCTCGTACACAACTTTTTGTAGCGCTTTTTGAATCGATCAAGCCAGCCATTAGATGCAGAAAAGTTCTCTATGGAAAGCTTATCCGCTGCATTCAGGACTTTTTAATGTAACAATCATAGAACACAGATATCCCTCTTTTATTGTAACAACATGCCACTCATAGGGATGTTTGAAACACTTGCCACTTGGAACCAGTTCTTCAGAATTTCCTTCAACTCTATGTACTTTGAATAACAGGCATATTTCTTCTTCTTGCAAAGATGTTCACTTTCATTTACACTTTTAATTATTGAAACCTTGTTCCTTCCTATCATGTTAAGAGTGGATACTAATATCCCCAGCACTGTAGCTAACGCAACTCCTGTTCCTGTATGGACTTGAACTTCCTCAAGAATTTTGGATTTTTCTTGAATAGAAAGACTCATTCTCTTCGTTTTTAAACCCGTTATAGGGCAAAATTAACACATTCTTAACAGCACAAAACTACCATGTCCTTCATATCTGTCAATGGCGTCAACACTCTTATACCAATATGTGAAGGTGCATTAGGGTTATTTTTCCTAATATGCATGATAGAGCACTCAACATCATTTAAGTCAATCAGCAACTGTGTAGTCTAGCATTGAAGTGCATCAAGGTCCATTTGAGGTGGGTGTAGGTGGTGAGTGGATTAAAATAAAACTTTGTTGTCAGCATGTATCACAAAATGTTTCCATTTTGTGGGGATAGTCATTAGTGTACAAGATGAATGTGGGCATCTTATTGCGATATTGTGGACCATGTACAGAGCCTTGAGAGACTCCACTGGTAATTGTCCTTCTAGATGACTTTGTTTCCAATTTTAACATGTAAGCTTGTCTTCAAAAAAGGCTTGTATTCTGCAAAGAAGCTTTCTCTTTATTCCCAGTGCTGGAGTTTGTGTAACATTATGCGTGTTGGAAGTTTATCAAAAATCTTTGAGAAAGGTAAATGAAATCAGTAGTAATATTGTTGTGTTCCATGATCACATTCTCGTCCTTCCAGGAATGAAACCATGTTGGCTTGATGCATACATCCAGTTACCATACAGGTTGCACCCTGGTTCCTCTGTAATGCTAAGTATGTCTGTCCATTATACTTGGAATTTCAACAAACGGCCGCATCGTGGATAAAATGGGTATTTGTGCACCTCCAAAAATTTTGCTACTGACTGCAAGTTGCTTCTGGGCTATGGGTTGAAGCCCCACTGATTTGGGATATGGCAGAAAACTCGCACTACCTTGAACTGCTATGTGATAAATTAAATTGATGTTTTGTTGTGAAAAAAAAACTTGTTAACTATAAAAAGAACAAAAAATATTTTAGGAAACAATACATTTCAAAACTACAATTTTCTTTCTTTTAGATGCCTCAATAAATATTGTAGTCAATACGCAGTACCAGTGGACAAATCTGTTTAGTAGTCTTAAGACTCCAAATCAATGGATGTGTAGAATGCATAAAATATGCTCCAATAATGATAACCGTGGCTAGTTGCCTGTTGTATTAAATTGGGTAGTATTGTTACACCTTTTCAACAATTGTGAAATGCAATGTTTTACTTCATGGCATGGTCTATTCTATATTGTTCATGGCAACAAAAAGTAACATTCTATCTCCTTAGTGAGTTGAAAAGTCATACAAGCAACCTTTTTTATTAATATTTATTTCATTTCAATATTAATTTATTTTTATTGTATTGTATAGTGTCACAGGTATATCATATTGCAGTTTATACAGTGATAGTTTGGAGTTCATCCGTTTATTTTACTCAAAATAGGCAGGCAGAGAAGGAATCTATTTTTACTAAAATAGGCTTGTGAAAAGGCACATATTCTGGTTAAAGTAGGGCTGCAAAATGTTAACAATGAAAAATCACCATTTTAATGGAATTGAAAAAAATCATAATTCATATCATTCACATATTCTCACAAATTTATGTTAGCACTTACGTGGAAGGAAACCATATTTTATGTGTTATCTGGATTGCACATAGCCACCTAGATGATGACTGCATTTGTTTCACTCACAGTGCTGTCTCTATAAAATGCTATTGTGGACTCCCTTTTGAATACTGAAATGGCATCAGTGAAAATAGAATTACAGATTTTGTGTTCTGCACTAGTGTCATCACCAGCACTGAGAAGTATATCTATATAATGTACAGAGAGTTCTGTCCTCAAAAGGGATCAGATACTCAAAAGTAGGATGAGATTCTTCATGAGCAAACAAAACTTGATAACATCAGTAAAAGAAATCCAAAAAATATTAATGATATCCTAAACCTTTCGATATTAACACATTCTGGTCTTGTAGGCTGAGTTTGCGAAGAAAGACAGAATGCAACAGTGCCTTTGTGTTGTCCAGGCATGCAGGTATGGTTTCAGCTTGATTGAGATCGTTGCCAGAAAAAGGAAGAAAAGGGTGAAATTTCGGCAAAATACCAAAACAGGTATCGGAAGCTAAAATAGGCCCCCCAAAAAGGCAAAAAGAAAATCTATTAAAATATTTCCAAAAGTACAATGAAGTGGTTCCTAGTGTTAAGTCATAAAATCCTTAAAATAATAAAAATGTATATTGTCAAACTTCTAGGCTAATAATTATCAGGTCTATAATTGTCAATATGAAATACAAGCAATCAATAGTATTCAATTTTTGTAGCTGATTGATAAGTAATGGTGTTGGTAGTTTGTAATAATTTTTTGTCTCCTTGATATGGTCCTTTATTTTGAAGGAATATAAATTGAAGTACTAATTTTATTAAAAGATTCATTACAGTTGTTGTGTTGCAGAATTTAATCAAAGATTGTGTGTAAATTGTGGGTTACAGATGCTGCAATGGGCGGAGCATACCAGGGATATAAGGATGTATCACCTATATATTCTCCTCAACATCCTCATTATACCCATGATGGCCGCACGCCATCACCCCGGCCACCGACTCAGCCGTGGCCCACTGGTGCATTAGTCCGACATGTAAATATGTTTTTCCAATTATTGTAATATTTCGCTAATTGTTTCCCCAATAAGTTTTTTTAACATGTTAACTGCTATATGGTGCTACACAGTGAGTGCCAAATTGATGAAAAAAAAAAAATACTTGTTTAATAGGCTTATTTTTCACTAATTCCAATAAAAAATACTCCGGAGATGGCAATATGCTGCTAACTCGGATCCTTAATATTCTGCAATATTTTTCTTTGCCATTGCAAAGCCGAATGGGTCCTAGTGTGTGAGCTGCTGAACAGTTTCCATGTACTTTATTGATATGAAGAGATGATATTTACCAACACGAATACTTTTAAAAAAGTACTAATTAGAATTACAATATTATTCAAAATATACAATAAAAATAATAGGCACAATATTGTGATGTTACTAACACAAGACTTATTTGTATAATTACACACTTTTTAGAGTGGTGCGATAAAGACAATTATTAAGCTAAATAAGTACTGTATAAGGTTATTACAGGTAGATTATGTACTGGTACTTTCTCTAATAATTTTAAGTGTAAATCATTTAATCTTCATGGACTTATCAGTTTAAAAAATAACTAGTGGTCTGCAACAGTATAAGTGCGTTGAACATACCCACAAAATTATTTTCGAAACATTAGCGTGCACACACTGCTAAAACACGACAAATTAAATACTCTCGTATTAAATGGAAAAACCTTAAATTTTTTTAAAAGAAAGTCTTTATGAACTCGCACACACACACACTCTCTCCCTCACTCTCGCTCCCTCTCTCCTTCTCTCCCTCACTCTCGCTCTCTCTCTCCTTCTCTCCCTCACTCTCGCTCCCTCTCTCCTTCTCTCTCCCTCACTCTCGCTCCCTCTCTCCTTCTTCGCTCACTCTCGCTCCCTCCTTTCTCTCCCCTCCTCTCTCTCCCCTCCCTCTCCCCCTCCTCGTCTCCCCCTCTCTCTCCCCTCTCTCTCCCTCCCTCTCTCTCCTCTCTCTCCCTCCCTCTCTCTCCTCCCTCCTCACTCTCGCTCTCCCTCTCCCTCTCTCTCCCTCCCTCTCTCTCCCTCCCTCTCCTCTCTCCCCTCCCTCTCTCTCCCTCTCTCTCCTCCCTCTCTCCCTCTTTCTCTCCCTTCTCCTCTCCCTCCCTCTCCCCTCCCTCTCCTCCCTCTCTCTCCCTCTCTCTCCCTCCGTTCTCTCCCTCCTCTTCTCTTCCTCTCTCCCTCTCTCCCTCTCTCTCCCTCACTCGTCTCTCTCTCTCCTCCCTCCTCTCTCTCTCCTCACTCTCTCTCCCTCACTCTCCATCCATCCCTCACGCTCTCCTCCATCCCTCACGCTCTCCCTCCATCCCTCCCTCTCTCTCCTCCCTCTCCCTCCCTCTCTCCTCTTCCTCCCTCCCTCCTCTCTCTCCCTCCCTCTCTCTCCCTCTCTCTCCCTCCCTTCCTCCCTCTCTCTCCCTCTCTCTCTCCCCACCTCTCTCTCTCTCCTCCTCTCTCTCCCTCCTCCTCTCTCTCCCTCTCTCTCCCTCTCTCTCCCTCCCCTCTCTCCCTCTCTCTCCCCCTCTCTCCCTCCCTCTCTCTCCTCCCTCTCTCTCCCTCCTCTCCCTCCTCTCTCCCTTCCTCTCTCTCTCCTCCTCTCTCTCTCTCTTCCTCTCTCTCTCTCTTCTCCCTCTCTCTCCCTCCCTCTCCTCTCCCTCCTCTCTCCCTCCCTCTCTTCCTCCCTCTCTTCCTCCCTCTCTCTCCTCACTCTCTCTCCTCCTCTCTCTCCTCATCACTCTTCTCCCCTCACTCACTCTCTCTCCTCACTCACTCTCTCTCCTCACTGCTCTCCTCCTCTCTCTCCTCACTCTCCTCTCTCCCCTCACTCCGCTCTCTCTCCTCACTCGCTCTCTCTCCCTCACTCGCTCTCTCTCCCTCACTCGCTCTCTCTCCCTCACTCCCTCTCTCCCTCACTCTCACTCTCTCTCCCTCACTCTCTCCCTCCATCCCTCACTCTCTCTCTCTCTCCCTCCATCCCTCACTCTCTCTCTCCCTCCATCCCTCACGCTCTCCCTCCGTCCCTCCCTCTCTCTCCTTCTCTCTCCCTCCCTCCCTCTCCCTCTCTCTCCCACCTTCTCGCGCTCGTGCCCAAACGTTTAATTTAAAACTTAAACGTAGAAATTTACAGCTTTGGATAGAAGACACTTCGCTCAGTTTGTATAAATAATTGCAACCATCTTTGTAGCTAAAATGTCTCTGTTTACAAGTCGTAGAACTTTGAGCTGTCGTAGAACTACCTATCGATCTGCAATCCCATTGAAGAGTTTCACCTCTCCTTTGACTTCATTGTCGCTTCGGAATCGTTGGCCACTCAAGGGTTTCATTAAGTTGGGTAACTAGTGATAATCGCTATGTTGAAGGATCGTACTGTACGGTGGATGGAGCATGACAGTACCCCCAATGTTTGTCAAGTTTTCCTGGGTTTGATGGGAGATGTTAGAGCGTGGGTTGTCGTGAAGCACCGTTACACCGTTTCTCAGCCATCCTTGCCAGTGGTTCTGGATTGCTTGACTTTGGTTACTTAGTGTTGCACAGTAACTGAGTTGAAGATTCCATGAACACAACCCAGGTTCCGTGAACCCGATCAGCAGTATTCCTATACGATTCCATAAAATAGCGGTAATGACTTTGCCAGCAGAATGAGTTTGTTTGGCCTTCTTGGCAACTGTTGACCCTGAGTGAACCATTGATTCGGATTTTTCTTTTGTTTTGGGTGCGAAATGAAACATTCTCATTTTGTCTCCCGTAACGAGGCAAACAATTATTCCTTTTTTCTCCTTGTGTTTGGTTGTCAGCATTCGAGCACCCTTCGAGCCCAACACGTGTAATACCCCGATTTTTCAATCAAAGCTCTTTCAACTCCAGGAATCCGAGCAACAAGTTCACGGATGGTGATCCTCCTGTTTTGAAGCACTTTGTGTTGGACCATCTCTGTAATTGCCTTTGAAACTGAAGGTCTTCCACTTCGGTCTTCATCATGGACTTCCTTCCGACTGGCACTTATCTCCCTGCACGACTTTCAGATGTGTCGAGCGGACCTATCTATACTTGTCGCCATTCACCTTTGTCAACTGACGAATATCCACATTTGGGGTCTTTTTTGCGTGCAAGAACCAAATTATGGAACGAATCTCACACTTGGCAGGATCAATAATGGGTGCTTTCTCACGGACGGCTGCTGATCCAAGACTGTGAAGCGTGGCCAGTGGGAATCCAGAGTGGGAGAACAGCTGCTCACAGCGATGTTGCCTGATTTCGACTCGTGTCGGCCCGTGCAACTGGCGCTCTTTGGGAACCTTATTTCTGGATCAACGCTTGTACATTATCACACATTAGCCTAGGATTTGTTCTGGCTGGGATACTGCCTTGCATGTCAATATATACATCAGCACAGAATCTCACATTCTAGTCTGTGAAATAGAACTCCATCTCCCAGGATATGCACGCGCAAAACTGGAGACCACGTCGTTTGTGTAAGGGCAAGTTTCGATCTGGAGGTTTAGGGTTCGATTCCCCAGCAATTTTCACCATAGGGTTGGGTCTGGAACAGGCGGCATTCAGCCTTGTTAGAACAAATTGAGGATATTTATCAATATCGTGTTTTTGGATTAACATCACTAACATCTTCTCTAACATCTACAGAAATAAAAGTCATAATTGAATCGTTTATTTCAGAAACCCGTCAAACACCAAATTCATTTCAAGAAAACTAATAAAAAATGTTCTTGTGAAGTTTAAAACTATTGCTGGTTTCTGCAATAAATGATCAGAAATAACTTGTTTTGATTTATAACATTAGTTTTTATTATTTATTACATTAGACGAAAATATGAAATTTTGTACACAAAAATCTTGAAAAATCAGGATTGTTATTAGTCTTCAAGCGCAACATCATCATTTCTAGTTGGCCAATGCAAAATTTTGTTATAAAATTGTTCATAGCCAAATACATAAGGTCTCAGTTTCACTAAATCCTCTATCTTTGTTTTGTTAATTGATACTTACAAGAACTGTAAAATGTAGAACAAACATATCTAATGAAATATTTGAATAATACCAAAATATTACGATAGTGCTTCCTTACATGGAGTAATACAAATTAATGTTTTATATGTATGTACTATTTTAGTTACATTAAATGCCTTCGAGTTTTGTTTTTAGATCTATTTTCTTCTCAGTGTGCGAAACATATGCCTTGCCTTTCACCCTGGCGTGGTGTATGATTTTACACTGATAAGTTTCTTCATGACGAACTCTGCATTTCCTTTTACATACAGGTTTATCATCAGAACTAGATATGTTCTAATAAAAAATTACTTTTTCTTACTCACTAATCACAGCAAATCACTTGCAAAAGAAACTTCAAAACGCCACACTAAACAGATGCTACTTACAAACTGAGAACAACAATCTCACTATTTTTAGAAGGGTAGATGGAGATCACGGTGAGACGCCCTGTACCTTTCTTAGAAAATCTCCCCTCCCGAACGTGTAACCTGCTCTGCTGGTTAGTTCTGTTAACCCTTTAAAGTTGCTTGGATTACATTGGACATTCTAATTCTTGTGGTAGTCTGCCTGCGACCACTGCAGGTCTAAAAGGAAATTTCCTTTTGGTTTAGAGGAGAAACCTGAAAAACGACGTCTAGTGTTCGGTTTCTGTTCAAAACACAATATTTAGGTTCTTTCAGACTACATTGCAAGAGTTGCAAATAGCTGATTTATGCCCTAAATGATGTGTTTATCCTCAGTGAACAATATCCTGTTGCTAAAATGTTTCTGAATTAAACGATACAATTATGTTCTTCAGGGGTTCCACATGGCTCACATCGTGGACCAATGTTGTTTATAAGTGACCTAAAGACCAATCTTAATTATCCATTTCTGTTATTTGATAATGAATTTAAGTGATAAAATGAAATTCATTCAGAAACACTGCAACTTCACTAGAAAATTTTATGTAATCTTGATAGTGTGATGTAAATTATGTTTTGTTTAATATTTCTAAATGTAAACTAATGTATTATACTTCACAAAAGTCTTCTATCAGATTCACCTATAATACCAACCCTTCAAGGGATTGTATGTTACATTAGTTCCTCTGTTACTATTATATTGCATTCCAAAATGGTGATCTTCCTATCAGCATCATGAAACACTTCCCTGTTTCGATCTTCATATTATATACTACCATACACCTATATCTTTAAATCATATTGTATCATACTCCTACGTATCTCATACTTTGTAATCAGATGGTTGTCTGTTCAAGCAAATAAATCATGATTCATGGTAATTAGTAACAGGGCCCCACATTTGAACATAGGATATATTCAGACACACCTGATTTGTAATTACGATACACTAAATTAATATTAATAAAAGCAAACAAAATCAAAAACATTTTACACACACACACACGCATACACAAACAATTTGAGGTAAAATGTCTCATGGTGACATGTGGTGCCACTGCCACATTCACTAGGCAAATAAATTGAGAAAATTCGTAATTATTCCTGTTTTTTGTATGATGAATATTCTGGACACCCATTCAGCCATTTGGAGTTTTATGAAAATAAGCTCAGCCAAGTGTTAAATTAGGTTTTGTTATTTTGGGGGGCGGGAGAAACGCCCATTATATGAACCTTATAATTAAATAGTTTATTTCAGAAACCCATCAAATGCCAAATTCCTCATTTCGAGAATACTGACAAAAAGTCTCCCAATTTTTCTGATTTCAAAATACCTTATTTATTAAAGCAGTTGATAAATGAAGGTTTTTGTAAATACGCACTATACAATATGACTATCGTCTTGGAACCATAATCCGCCGCTAATGTGTGTTTTAGATTTTGGCGATTGAGAGGTTTCTGAAATAAATGATTCAATTGAGGACTGATGAGCCTATCTTTTTGTATATATTACATTGTACACATTATAAAATTTACAAATGATGTATCCTTGTCTTGTTGATTAATTATTGTCCTCTAACTTCAAGTAAATGTTTGTCTTTTTTTTTTGCTGAAAGTATTATGCATATTCACCAAATGAAGCAGTGCAAGCTAGATAAATGTGTTATAAGTTGTACTTGTAATTTGTACCAGGCCCAACCAACCCTGCAGCTACCGCAGCACTCTCCGCTACCACCCCAACATTCACCTCAACCTCAACAACAACAACAACAACAACAACAGCAGCAGCAGCAGCAGCAACAACAGCAGCAGCAGCAGCAGCAGCAACAACAACAGCAGCAGCAGCAGCAGCAACAACAACAGCAAGTTGCTCAGCAGAAGCCACCACCAACACAACAACCGCCGCCACCACCACCACAATTATTGTCGCATCACAACACTCCCAGCTCAACCCCTGAGTTCCTCCCTCAGCAGTATCCTGATTGGCCTATGTCCTTGTAAGTAAAGAAATGCAGATCTTTCTATACTGTTTTTACAGGAATTTAAATGGGAAGTGTCTGCTATGTATGAATGTATGTATGAATGAATGTATGTATGTATGTACGTATCTATGTACTTTGGCACAGTTCTTTACAAGCTAAGGCCTACCAGCAGTGTCCCGACCTTGTTAACTTAATAGGTTAAGGTGTATGTGAGGTTAGCACATAGCCATCCTTATGCTGTATTTCTGGTATTTTTAGCGCGAGAAGTTAGCTTTCTTATCGTCACACAACAACAGATACTGGGACATTGCAAGGAAAGCAAACAATTTATTTTCACCCCACCCGGGAATCGAACCCAGGGCCACCAGCCTCCAAGGGCTACCTGTATGCAATGTGGCTTGGGTTAATATCTCAGCGTCCAGTGACAAGTTCTCTGGGAAGATTTATTTTCCATTTGCCTGAATTCCTATTGCTTCACTGTCTGTTGACATTTCCAGTTTCTTCTAGTATATGAGAATCTTATTAAGGATTGAGGAGTTGGATGGAAGAAAAGTTTAACTCACGCACTATTTTTCCATTTCTTTTCTTGTGATCTTTGTTAGTCTTCCAAGTCTGTATACAACTAATAGAAGTTCAAATAAATTACTTTTAGGATGTGAAGAACAAGAGGTTTCACAAAAGTTGTTGGTCCATCAAAGTGCTTGAAATGTTTGGTGCGAACTGCTCTGATGCCAATTTGTTGTGTTGGTTACATTCACTAGTTCAGTCCATCTTCACATTTCATTAGTATTACATTAACTTAAGATTTTTAAGTTTGATTTTTCTTGTATGGCTTGTAGTGATAATTTTTCTATTGCATGATATTAATGATAAATGATAATCAGTAACAAGAAAGAAAGTTATTCTGAAATGGGTTTGGGTTTAATTCAATTCAATTTAGTATAATTTACTTCCATAAAACACGTTTGAAGACTAACATATTTATTGTAATTTTTTAAATTGTAAGTGAATCATAAACACAAAACAATATTAAAATCCAGATCAACAGCCTAAATGAAAATGTAGAAAGAATGTAAGTAATGAATGAAAGGCAAAACTGTAATTTTTATAAGCATAAGAAATCCACTTTCTTTAAATGTAGTGGTTGGAACACGTTTCCATTGAAATTATGAGAATAAATGCACTGTGTGTGAATTACCTTCTGATAAAAATCTCACATAAAATGTAAAATTCATTTTTCTCTGAATAGTGATTTTTGGGTTGAGACTTTTATGCATCCAGCTCTTCAATTAATAAATATAATATGTAATTGGTCGAGTATTTTTCTAGAAAAGATTCTGCATTTTTCACTAGTGATTACTATCACATGGGCAATTGTGAAATACATGGCGATAAGTGGAACCAGACAGCCTCTGATTCGTGGTGGACGGTGGGTTCAAAACTTGGGGAGCTCCACAAAAATTCAGGCATGAAATAATATTGTAAAATTGAAAGTCAGTGACTTTTGTGTTGTTGGTGACATTCCAAATAAAAGATTTAGATTGAAAATTTCTCTTCAGGAATTCTTCTCCACAAAAATGGCACTTTCAATAAAGATGTTATTGGTTCCATTGAAATGCTTGTTCTGCCTCATAATAGATCCACTGCAACCAAGTGCACCAACTGTCTATGATTGCAACACACCTGTACAGGAGACTGCATGATGTGCGAGAGCATAAGTGCCAAACCGACTCCAAAGCTGGACAAAAAGAAACTGCCCTTTTCTTGTTAGTTAAGGGATGTTGTCATGGCAGTGGAAGGTGTTTGTCAGGTTGGACAGCCGGTACCCTGCAAAGGTGATGCAGTCTACCACAGACAAAAGCAGTGCTCTACTTGAAGAGTATAGTTACTTGGTGGTGTTAACTATGTGTAACGCAGAACTGCTTTCCTCCATCTTGTGTTGTAATACTAAGTTTACAGCAAGAGAAATGATTTCTTTGAAATGTTAACTCGCCAGCCATAAACATTTATGTTAATTTAGGCAATGCTACTTTTTACAGTTTTTAAGAGAAAAAATCACATCTGTCCTAAAAATCTGCTATTGCTCTGTTTGTGCATCTGGTTTCATATCATGGTTATGGTGAGGGAAGGAATTCAATTTGAACTGCCTTGGTGATACACAGTATAAACTTACTGTAAACTGCAAAAGTCAGTGACAAAATTTTGTCAGAAATGCCAAATAAATTCCTGATATCAAAAAGTGTTTTTTCAAAATGCCTGTCTGTCTTGTCAATACTAATAACTAAACTTTAACATTTTCAGACTTTTCTCAAAAATTCCTCCAATTTTTTTATTGCACTTTGTTTTTGGATTCTGTAAATTAATTATAAATGAATAATGCAGGTTCCTGATTTTTAGCAAATTGCATAGTTCAAAAATTTGTTTATTGTCTGCCTATATATTCCAAATAACACTAATGACTGAACTTTTACACTTTCAGACTTTTCACAAAACTGCCTCCAATTTTTTATTTCACTTTGTTTTTCGATGCTATAAATGATGCTTAAAAAAATAAAGCAGGTCCCTGATTTTTAGCAATTTGCATAGGTTAAGTTTTCAGCCTCCTAGAACTACAATATTGACGAGAGATATTTTTTTCCTGAATAAAATCTGTTGAAGACGAATCTTGAAATAAGGTCATACAATTTTTTTTAAAAATATGAGTAGGTTTTGCGTAATTTTGCCTGCAATGTAAGCCATTTTTAAAGAATTATTTCCTCAAAAGACAGCTCCAAATTTATTTTTAAAATTTTCTCCTTACATGTATCCCAGGGCAATAGAAAAGGGGTACTTGTTCCATTTCTGATGAACTCTATTTTTGAAAATTGCAAAAATAGAAATTTGTTGATACAGATTTTTCTCAAATAAAATCTGTTTTAGAAAATTAAATCTTTTAAAAAAGGTCTTGTACAATTGTTTGAAGAACGAGTAGTTTTCTTGCAATTTCTGCGTGAAGCTAATGCAAATTATAAAAAAATTATTTTCTCAAAAACTATTTCAAATTTTTTCCACAGATAGAAGAAAGTTTGCCTAAAAGAATGGTGCAGGTCTCATAATTGTTGAACTCTCTGAATTTTGTTGACCAGTATTGAAATGTTTATTCCACTTGCTCATTATTAAATTATTGCTACCTTAGTCCCATGATTTTAAAGGAAAAACCCTTTTTTCAGTTGTATAAATTTTTACTATTGTCAATCAACAATGGAAAAAATTAAAGTCAAATGTTTTATTGAATAACTCTGCACTCTACTGTTTTTGTCGGAAACTCTTGTGTATTTTAAAATCAAAGTTTAAAATCCCAATCAATGTTGTCTTTATGTTACTTAATGGGTAGTGATTACTGAGTCATCCTTTCTAACTAAATTAGTTAACTTAAGCACAGTTAAGTAAGTTTCACACAAGAATATTTTAATCAATTCCATTCAAATCAATGATGCCATACTTTCCATGGTTAGTCTCGGGCCATGAAGCTTGGTCTTCCATCTGACCATGCAAATTCCGCTATACTCCTTTCATAATCTGACAGAGAAAAGAGGTTTCACGTGGGTGATGAAACAGGTGATTGTAATTTTACTCATTTAGGCTTGAGTATCTTTTCAGTGCAGAAAATCTATAACAAGGGACAGTCGACTTTACTTCCCCTCCAAAGCATTTTTCCGACCCTAAAAATCTGTGTCTTCGATCGAGTGTGAAGCTGTAAACTTTGTTATAGCAGTCCAATTCGCTAACAGTTACACCACCGAAGCCACTGAACAATGACACCACTGAACAAAAAGAAGCATAGAAAGGCCATATGCAAGAGAGTAAAATTAAATGAGAATGCAAATTGGTATAATATAAATAAACTCTAGTTGATAAAAGAATCTAAGTAAATTTACTGCAGTGTGTGATTACTGTAAACCCACTTGCTATGCATCTGGATCATCAGGGGCTGAAAATTGTGTGGCAAAGAGCAGTATTGAAAGAAGCACTGCGGGATGACTTGGTGACCACACACCACATCACATTTCCTTTGCGACAAAATTTCTCAGGAAGGACTGGAAGCCATTCAAAGATAAGAAGTTAGTTATGTGTTTAAAGCTTTTCTTGAAAGGTTTTGAGAATCGTGAAATATAATAAATGCAGTAAAATCTGTGTAAACCAGAACCTATACAAGCCAGAAACCTGCGTTATCCAGAAAATTTCTCTGGCCTCTGAAGTTAAATGGCATTTTACATAGCCTTAAACTGAACTTGCCCAACACAGAACTCAGAAGGGTTTTTAATGTCCTGCTGAAAAAACTTATAAAATGAAATTTCTGTGAATTTAATGCAATTGACAGAGAGATGCAGAAATCTCTTAATGTAATAAATGCATCTGCAGAACCGTTTTAATTTCTCTGTCTTTGTGATATACGTTTCAGTTGTGGCAGCCGGACACTGAGGAACTTAAGCTGTCAACATAGAATTTGACCTTGGGGTTGCTTGTCTCTCAATGTCTATGCGTAAGGGGAATTCCCTACCACATGGCTCTCTGGGCATGAGAATTTGTATGGTAATGACTTCAGTTCACATATCTTTCGGACCCATGATGAGAATCATGAACCCCTCAGCCAAAGTCGCATTGGTCAAGGCCATGTGAGAGTATCAGAAAGACAGTACTCAGGGCTTTGATGCATTGTGCATTGAAGAAACTGTAAACAGTCTGGCTGTAATCACCAGACTATGGAGGTTTATTTTTTATGTATTTCACAACCAGTTAAACAATGGTTGGTAAAAACATAAAACTAAATATTACAATCTTTTTGCACTGTGCAGATTGGGTGGAGTGGGGGGAGATATGAACGGGCACACCAAGTATCTCTTTGGGCGATTCTGTTCATTATGCTTACAATGCAAAATACTGATGATGTGGAGGAGTCTTGATTAATTTATTAACAGCAGCGTAAAAATAATTATTATTTAATGAAATAT